AAAAACTGTGAAATCTGGTCCCAAGCATTTTGAATAAGGAATGCACAACCTGTAATGATACTGGGTCTAAGGAAAGAGAAAATGAGAGCATGAATTCAGCGTAAGGGATCAGATTTTAATTAATTTCTTCTAGTTTAGGAAACATTCATCACAGCCAGGATTTGAGGTGACAAAGACAGGACGTAATAGAGGGAGCTCAAAAATAGATTTTAAAATTACTCTAATAAATGCTGTGCATATTCAGTAAAGGAACATAATTATAATAGCAAACACTTAAATAATGCTTTCCGTTTTTAAATAATGCTTTCAACTTACTGATCCCTGTTCTAAGTACTTTGCGTGCCTTAACTGTCTTGAGTAATCCTGTGAGGTAGATGCTGTTATTAACAAAGCATAGATGTAAGCAACAAGAACTCTGGAGCCAGACTGCCTGAGTTACTCACTCTCTCTGCTCAATTTCCTTAGCTATAGAAACCAGGATAAGAGCGCACATTCAGCTTAATGGTTAAGATGCCCACGATGAACAGTGGAGTGTCAGGGTTTACTAATGCAGACTGTGAGAGGCAGACTGTAAGAGATAATAGCTCAAGTAATTGGGTCCCTCCCAGCCTTGAGAGACCTGGATTAAGTTCACAGCTCCCAGCTTTGGCGCTGGCCCAGCCCGAGCTGTTTCAGACTTTTGGGGAGTGAGCCAGCAGATGGGAGGTCTCTCTCTCCCTCTTCCTATTTCTCTCTCTCTCTCTCTGATTGTCAAATTTAAAAAATGGACAATACTAGATCCATATTAGGTTATTTTGAAGATTACAAATTGTTTAGAACAGCACATAAATAATATTTCTTAAAAGTAAAATTTTTAGAAACGCAGTTTTGTAGCTAAGGAAAGAGATGATTTATAATTTTTCCCAAGATCGTTGAGTAGGTGGAGGAGCCAGAAACTGAATCCAGCCAGTCTAACTTCAAGGCTTATGCTCTTATGGAGGTAGACCCAAAGGAAGGCATTTTGGGATGAGATTGCAGAGCTAGTCCTGTGGTATGAGAAAGTTATCCACACAAAAAGGAGGTGGGTGAGTAAGGAATGGTATGGTAAGGGAGGAGCCCTATGAACAAAGGAAGGAGGCATGAGATAGGATGATATCCAGGAGGCAGAGTGAGCAGTTAGGTATTGTGGACACTTAAAGTGGGCGGTTAATAATGATAGGAAGTAAGCTGAAGAATGGACAGGAGCCAGCCATGGAGAACTCACTTGCTGTATTGTTCTACCTTTTTTTTTTTTTTTTTTCAGCATAGGTTGAGGGCATAGGTAGGGTAAAACTTGGGGCAGGGAAAATGGACAGCAATGATATGGAAGATTTAGGGAGCCTGACCTAGGGCTACTAGCAGTAGGATTGGAAAAGAGGGGAGACAGATTTGAGAAGTAGTTTGAGAGGTGAAATTGACAAGGTGAAGGAAGATTCTGATTTGGGAAGTCAGAGAATATCATGAAAACACTCTTTTTCAGTGGAGAACATGCTTAGCTTGAAGAAAAGTATATAAGGCAATGAGAAATTTGTTGAATCTGAGGTTAGGGTGAAAAACCAGAATGGAAGATAAAGATTGAGGATAAACCATGATGAGAAGTAGCAGATCTCTCCCTGGTCCTAGTGGACAGGAAAAAAAGACCAGAGATAGTAAAGAATAAGATGACAGAGTTAATAACACAATCATTAATACTTGACACCATTATCACAAACCACATAGTCTTCGTTGTTTGTTGTTGTTGTTGTTACCTTTTTAACAAACTGGAAGGGTGTGAGATGCTGTGCCTGTGATAGATTGAGAGCATCCAACTGATGGGCAAGTGCAAGATTGGGTGACCTATTTACTCCAGGGTCCTCAAGGTCAGGTGGAGAGCAGGCTTTAAAATGTTTGTTGACTTTCAGGCTTGACTTAATGACACAGGAGCTGATTGCTGTTTTTCCGTTGCTGATCCAAGGCCAGGAGCCAGGAGCTTCCTCCAGGTCTCCCTCGTGGGTGCAGGGGCCCAAGGACTTGGGCCATCTTCTACTGCTTTCTCAGGCCATAGCAGAGAGCTGGATAGGAAGTGGAACAGCTGGGACTTGAACCAGTGCCCATATGGGATGCTAGCACTGCAGGCGGCAGCTTTAGCCGCTAGGCCACAGTGCCAGGCCCAGTGTATGTAAAGTATTGGAAATTGAACTCACCAGAAGAGATTTTTTTTTCCCTAATAGAGTCATTCAAAATAATTATTCACATTTGAAATTCTCTGTGAAAATATGACCTTCAAGGAGTTTGACAACAAAAGTTTTAAAATATGACTGTTTTCATGTTGGAGGGCACTTCGTCTCTTCTTACCCCAATACACACTAATGTCTTAGGGTCTTCTGTAGGGGTCTCAATAGACTGTTTCTGTGAACAGAGGAGGGGGACACAAGTCTTTTTTCACTTGGTCAGAATGGAGGATTTTTTTCCGTGTGTCCTTTGGTTGTCTTCTTGATTGGCACATATTAATTGTGTGCATATTAATTGAGTACAGTGTGATGCTTCAATACATTGTGTAGGGACCAGCTAAGAGTAATTAGCATCTCTATCACTTTTGTAGATTGACAAGTTTTTTAGAAAGGTTTTCTGAGTCACTTCTAATGTTACCTAAAGAAACTGTAAAAGCTGATTGAACAGGGAAAGCATGGATAAAGGGCAGATACTCAACTGTTCTGAACATGCATTTGAAGTGTAAAGCAGTAAGGATTTGCTGTATAAGAAAAAATTTAAAATAATAAAGAAACAAGCCCAGTTAGGGATTCAGAAGTGGAACGGCTGCTTGCTGCAGCCGTGGACTTCTTGCTGGGGTGCTGGTGCTGGATATCTGTCTGAAGGACTCTAGCGAGGATCTCAGCTGTGAGGGGAAAGCTGGCCTTCCAGGGCCCAGTCCTTCACGAACCACTGAGTTGGATGCCAATGCCTGCACTTGTTTGCAGACTATTCCGGTACTCACGGGTCTGTTTCTGAGTTCTCGTATTTCTCACATCAGTGTGACACAATGCTGTTTCACATTAAAATAATAATTTCTATTTAGATGGTAAGTCCCTCAAAGACAGAAATAAGGTATTATTTAATTAAATAAATAATAGTATTTTTGAACAGCTACAGTGTCTAGCTTTATGTTAGGAACTCTTAATTACTTATTGATTAATCATATTGGACTTTTGATTTCTGTGTGTTTTGGTTCATGGATAACAATTTTTATTTCTTTTTAAGAAACAAAATATTCTAGGTATCTTAGGAAGTAAAAACATTTTCATAAATTATTAATTTCATTCTTCCTTTACATTTTTCATTGATGTAAAATTGAGAGAACAATTTAATTGCAGTTTCAAGCATCAGCAACTGAAAAAGCCCTAATTTTATTGTTGAGTTATCTATAAAAAATTGATCATTTAAAGATGAGAATACAGGTGTGCATTTTGTGTGGGATTAATATGCTGCTCGGAATGCCTGACTCCCATATTCGAGTGCCTGGGTCCAGGGCCCAGCTCTGCTCCTAATTCTAGCTTCTTGCTACTATGCACCTTGGGAGGCAGCAGGTGATGGCTCAAGCACTTGGGTCATGGCCACCAATGTAGGACACCCAGATTGAGTTCTGGGTTCCTGAGTTTGGCTAGCCCAGCCCTGACTGTTGCGGGGGTTTGGACAGTGAATCAACAGGTGGGAGGTGTCTATCTCTGGCTCTGTCTCTCTGTTGTTCTGGCTTTCAAATAAATAAAAAGAAATGCAAAAAATTTCTGACAGGTGTTAAGACCCTTCTCATAATAAAAGCTTTATTTTATGAGCATAAGTTTTTGAAGGCTTCAGAGATGAGGAACTCTAAAAGAAAAGTCAAGTTAGCATCATCTGTAGATGTATTGTAAGTTAATTTCTTGTTTAGACTTCAGTTTTACAATGTTTCTGTAGTAATTGATCATAGTCATATAAGTGAACCAACTAAATGTCTGAAATGCTGAAAGCCATAGAATGATTTATTTTTGCAAGTGTGGATGTAGAGGATAGTGAAATTAACAACAAAGTGTTTTTCTTCATGAGTGTTTGAAACTAAATATATGTTTATATATATAACTTTTATATATTATATATGTATATAAAATTATTCTATATGAGGGGCAGAGAGAGGGCAGGGAAGAAACAGACAGTTCCCATCCACTAGTTCATTCCTCCTGTGCCCAAGTTGTCCAGGTTAGGATCAGGCCAAAGCCAAGAGCTAGAAACACAAGCCAGATCTCCCATTGGCTGGCAGGTACCCAACTTCTTGAGCCATCACTTAATGCTTCAAAGAGTCTGCATTAGCAGGAAGCTGGAATCAAGAGCTAGACCTAGAATTTAAACCCCGGCGTTCCAAAATGGGATGTGTGCATTCAAACCGGCAGCCTACTGGGCCAGCTGCATACCACTTCAATATATTTTGAGATGGTTGAATACCAAAATTAGAATTTTGAGCTCCTACCAGCCGATTCTTAACTTCTATCCTTTAGAATAGGACCACTATATGCCCTCGATAGATTGAGCCTTGGTCAGTCCCTTGTCACTATAGGATTTCTGTGTGCAAAAGTTGCACATGTATTCATTTTTATGAACAATGATTAAGAAGTAAAGTAATAAAGATTCAAAATTACTATTAAAAGGCAAGTCTTTTAAGCATTTAAAACAAGTTTTTAAAAATTTTTGTAGATTGTCTTAAAATTATTTTACTTAGGGATGATAATTCATATTGTAAGCATTTTCAGTATTTCCTCTGCTAAAATAATCTATTTAGAATAATGGTAATATCTAGGTAAGATTCAACATGTAAAAGGGGTTGTCCCTATTCTGTACTTGGCTTATAAAGTTTAGTTTGGTAGATATTGACTCTAGAATCACTAAATCATTTCTTAATGGAGTATGATAATACTTTGTGGATTATATGATAATCTTTTAAAAATAATCATATCCTTTTAAAATATTTATTTCAGAGCCCAGTGATTTGACTCTAAAAATTTACAGAGCAGAATCATATGCTGGTCTCCAAGAGTTTAAAGCAGCCATAGAAGATTTAAATGCAGTTCTTTTTCAACTTCCAAACTGGCCTGAGGTAAAATCACTGTTTTACATTTGCATAAAGTTTAAAATTTCACCTGTTGGGAACATGCATTCAATTATGGTTATAAGTTTTAGCAAAACAGATATTTTGCTTTAAGCAAAAATCATAACATTCTAGAAATCTGGAGTCAGTTCTTAAATGGATGATATAATCTGACAATTTTTTGAATTAGAAGAAACCATTGTGTCAAACTGAGGAACACACTGAATTCATGGCACAGGAAAAACAAGAGAGGCATTAAAATTTTTCAACAGACTACCTAAAAGGTAATCTGTGGGTGTGAAATTGACATTTTGAGATTCCATGATTTTTTTTTTTTTTTTTTTGACAGGCAGAGTTGGTGAGAGAGAGAGAGAGAGAGAGAGAAAGATCTTCCTTCCATTGGTTCACCCCCCAAGTGGCTGCCATGGCTGGCTTGCTGCACCGATCTGAAGCCAGGAGCCAGGCGCCTCCTCCTGGACTCCCATGCGGGTGCAGGGCCCAAGCACTTGGGCCATTCTCCACTGCCTTCCTGGGCCACAGCAGAGAGCTGGACTGGAAGAGGAGGAAGTGGGACTAGTAGTACCTGGCACCCCAACCGGGACTAGAACCCAAGGTGCCGGTGCTGCAGGCAGAGGATTAGCCTAGTGAGCCATGGCACCGATCTGAGATTCCATGATTTTTAATAGCCCTTGTCTGGACTGTTGAGAAACAGTGGTTTTTTTTTTCTTCATATCAGTTGTTGAACTTTTTACTTAGTGTAGGGTTAATCTTATGAGTATAAAGTTAACTGAAAATAGATCTTCATAAAAATTAAGAATGGAAATAGGAGATGGAGGAGGGTGGGAGTGTGGTTGGGAGGGAAAATAGAGTGGGAAGTATCATTATATTCCTGCATCTGTATATAGGAAATATATGAAATATGTATACCTTAAATAAAATTTAAAAAAAAAGAAAAAAATTTTCAGCAAAGAAATAACTTGCCATTTTGTGAAGGCAGATACAGTCTGGACTAGGAAGTTTGGATCAAGGAGGTTAATTATGGAAAAAGGTAAATCTTTGAGGCTGGAAAATTGTCATTATAATAGCAAGGGGGTGATTAGGCAGTTTTAAAAAGAACTAAAGAAATGTGTATAACATAATCTGTTTACTAATTTTCCTTTTTATTTAACTGCAAAGGCAATCTGTCTCCCTCCCATGTGTGTTGTTTAAGCTAGAAGTTATTTTATGTGTTTTTTTCCTATAACTCAGAGCTGTGCCATTAAGGACAGTGTAATAAGGATGCCTTAAAAATTATAAATTAATAAGGAAATGGATACAACAATCCCATGATGATGTGACTGTTGATACAGTCACATATGTATTAAGAATGAAACTGCAGTGGTTTGTGTGTATAGTTTTAAAACTGTTTAAAAGGAAAGAAACTTCGAGACTTACTATTGAAGTGATACCAGAAATGTGATTTTCTTCAGTTATTTAAATGGTAGCTAAAATTACTATTTGACAAGAATATATTTTAGGCCTCTCTGATGTTATTTAACACAACTCTGTGGTTTGTAAACCTCTCCATTCAAATTCTGTAGACTAGGCACATTTAAAGCTTGCCAGTTGACACTTTATTGGTAGACTGACTCACACACTGAATTTTTGTTTATCAGTGATCTAAATAAGGTTCCAGTTTTTGTCATGGAGCATGTTGAATTCCTATAATAAAAAATAAAAAATAAAGGAAAAATTTTGATGCATCTTAAAATAAGTATAATTCTGTATTGTATTTCTTTTGCTCCCTCAAACAATTATTATTAAATCAATAATCATTAAATAAGCAGTTTTTTTAAGGGGAGGGAACATAGTGTTTATGGTCTTGCTGAGCCCTGACTTGCTGTGGAACTTTGGTCGGGTCGTTGTCTGGGCCTCAGTTTCCCTGATGGTGCTTCTCCAGGGTAATGGGTAGATGTGCCTTTGCAGTTAAATAAAAAGGAAAATAAGTAAACAGATTATGTTTATGATTAGGCTTTGACCTCCTCAAGGTTATTTAATTCCAAAATCAGCATTTTTGAGCATGTTATTTGTTTTTCTTTTCTTGATAATGATTTTCCTGAAAATCAGTTTCATCCATAAAGGTTTTGTTTGTGTGCTTCCATTGAAGGTTTACTTCAGGAAAGGAAAGGTACTCCATGATGCTGGCTTCTTAGGTGATGCCTTACAGCTGTTTCTTCAGTGCTTAGCCCTTGATGAAGATTTTGCACCTGCAAAGCTGCAAGTAGAAAAGGTAATCAGTTTACCAACCATAATGTTTCCAGGCAGGGCTAAAACACAGATCTTTTTTTAAAATACTAATTGGAAAGTTACTATAAGTGAATAATCTAACTTCAGAGCAATTTGAGAGGTTTTCATGTTTGAATGCTTAGTGTATTAAGTTATTGGATGAAATCAGAACATTTCATTCACAGATATTTTGGTGCAATATTTTTGCTTAGTTAATTTAGACATTCCCTAATAATTTATCCAGTCCACACCAGACTGAGGTTTTTAATTAAAAACTGCTGTCCTGATGTTCTGCTCAGGACTCTATTAACCTGGCCTGTGTCTTTGGCTTGGGCTCTGAGCTTGGCTTTCTTTCCATGCTGCCAATAGTATTGCCCCAACTTGTTTTGCCTTATTTTTCTTAATGCTCCATATATCATTTTCTAACATGTGTGCTGCCTGTGGTGTGTTAGTAGGTGTTAATTAAAGAGAAGAAAAAAGAAGAGGGAAGAGGGGTTTCTGATCAAATGACTTTGGGAAATATTTGGTTAATACAAATTTAACAAGTTTCTTCAGAACTTTTTAGGGCCTTTTGATATGCTAGCATGAAAAAAAAATAGCCTTCAGCACAGATCATCTAGTGAGAGTAGTCTTTAAAAAATTCTTTGAGGGCCGACGCTGTGGCGTAGCGGGATAAACCATCACCTGCTTCACGGGTATCCCTTATGGATGCAGGTTCGAGTCCCGGCTGCTCCACTTCTGATCCAGTTCCCTGCTGATGCCCCTGGGAAACCAGCAGAAGATGGCCCAAGTCCTTGGGCCTCTGCCACCTACATAGGAGGCCTGGATGGAGCTCCAGGCTCCTGGCTTTGGCCTGGCCCAGCCCTGGCTGTTGTGGCCATTTGGGGAATGAACCAGTGGATAGAAGACCTCTCTCTCTTTCTCTCTCTCTAACTCTGCCTTTCAAATAAATAAATCTTGAAAAAAAAATTCTTTGAGAAAATCAACCCTAATAAAAGTTCAGGTTCCCTGTGCTGGTGCTCTCCTCAATCTTCTCAAAACAGGCCATGTGATTTGTCACCTTGGTCGTGTTTCTGGGTTTTTGTCAAAATTGCCTGGAGTGCATGTTGAACATTCCCCTAGTCATAGGCCTTTGGAATCATCATCTCTGGAATGGAGGCATCATAATAAGCATTCCAAGAGATCCATATGTACCTTAAAATAGGAGAACATTTTTCTCAGATCCCAGCAAAGATGCTTTACAATATTTTGTTTTTCTCCATATGCTTTTTGTAAATTGTGGTATAATTTACATGTAATAAAACACATAGATTCTATATAGTTTGTTGAGTTTTGAGAAAATGAATGTACTTGTGTTAATAGCATTCCAGTCAAAATAAAGGATGTTTCTGTCACCCTAAAGCATGCTTTCATCTCCTTCCCAGTAAATCTTCCATCATCTTGCTCCCAGAGGAAACTACTGTTACATTTCTATCACCATAGAGTAGTTTTCCTATTCTAGAGATATGAATGGGATCATCTAGTGTGTACTCTTTTTGTCTGTGGCTTTCTTCTTTTTGCTTAACTATTTTAAAAATACATCCTGTAATTTTTTTCTTTTTGTTAGTGACTGTATATTTCATTATATGAACAGACCATGATGTGGTATTCAGTTAGTAGTGATTTGTGTCTGGATTATTTTGTTTTGTTTTTAAAATAATTTTGAATAAAGCTGTTATGAACATTCCTGTACAATTAATTTTGTGCACATGTGTTTTTACATCTCTTTGGTAAATTCCTAGGAGTGGAGTTGCAGGGTTATAGGGTAGGTTTGTGTTTGACATTTTTTTTTTGACATCAAAGGAAATGTAAAATAAATAAATATTAAATATTTGTTTATTTGTACAATTTTATTTCTGTTGTGTATATTTCCTTTCATAATGATTTGTGAATTACTCTGATTCTTGTGTATTTGAGAGAGTATACAGCTGAAAAATGAGACCTCCAAATTTAGACATTACGAAATGCTCTGCAGCTTGTTTGACAGCCAGAAAAAGATCAGAACCTTTCTCATAGTCTTTCTAGCCAGGGTCTTCCCCCATGTTAACTTGCCCCTTCTCTTTGAGAGTTCAGATTTATTTCTGATTTAGACATCCAGAAATTGTGATTCCGCAGCTGTGGCCTAGTTAAACTCCTACTGTTACAGAGCAGCTGCTATGTGGTGATTGCCGCATAGGTTAGTTGTCAGTGAGAAGCTAATGTAAGTATAGGGAATTTCAGAATTCTATAGTTAGAGGTCCAGGTTCTCTAGTTCACATAAGTAGTCTAATTCCAACTTTAAAATCTGCATTGCTATGAGCCATGAACTGTTTTGACTAGGATATGGCTCACAGATATTCAGAGATGAACCTTTTTGACATCACATAAGATCCTTCTTCTTATAATCCTTGTATTAAAAGGTCTGCCTTTTCCTCAGTTACCTTCTCAGTCACCTAACCAGTCCCTGGTTCCCTTCAAAGTCTTGAATCATTTCTTTGAGGTTATTTGATCCCCATTGAGGTATACTTTGGTTTCATAAAAATTTTTAATTTGTTTTATTACCTAACCAGTTCTTCTCCTCTGCTTATTAAAATAATGTCTAGAAAAAAATCTTAAAAATCTTTTGTTTAAGATTTATTTTTATTTAATCGAAAGGCATAGTTACAGAGTTGGGGAGAGAGAAGGAACAGAGAGGTCTTCCATCCACTGGTTCACTCCCAAAGCCAAGATCCAGGAGCCTTTTCTAGGTCGCCCACATGGGTGCACAGGCCCAAGCACTTGGGCCACCCTCTGCTGCTTTCCCAGGTGCATTAGCAAGGAGCTGGATCAGAAGTAACGCAGCTGGGACTCAAACCGGTCTCCTATGGGATGCTGGTGTTGCAGGTGGTTGTTTAACCTGCTGTGCCACCACTCCAGCCCCACCAAGCAATCTCAAAATCCCTCTTAGGTAAATTTATATTAAATTATCCTTAACCCAAAATTTCACATTTTCTACTACTTTTGTAATATTTCTCTTACAGATTTTGTGTGATTTGTTATCACCTGAAAACTTAAAAGAAGACCTAAAGGAGTCTTCCTGGAGTTCATTACCATGTGTTAAAAACAAACCTTTTGTTTTCCCTGTGGTAATGGGAGAATCTCAATCCCCCAGTGAGCTCAGCCCACAACAGGTAAGGGGTGAGAAAAGCTTGTCATGGTTTTAGCACCAAGTAAATATTCACTTTTAAAATTTCTTTTTTTTTTTGATTTTTTTTAACTTTTATTTAATGAATATAAATTTCCAAAGTACAGAATATTGATTACAATAACTTCCCCCCCATAACGTCCCTCCAACCCGCACCCCTCCCCTTTCCCACTCCCTCTCCCCTTCCATTCATGTCAAGATTCATTTTCGATTCTCTTTATATACAGAAGATCAGTTTAGCATACATTAAGTAAAGATTTCAACAGTTTGCTCCTGCACAGAAACATAAAGTGAAAAATACTATTTGAGTACTAGTTATAGCATTAAATCTCAATGTACAGCACACTAAGGACAAAGATCCTACATGAGGAGTAAGTGCACAGTGACTCCTGTTGTTCACTTAACAAATTGACACTCTTGTTTATGGTATCAGTAATCACCCTAGGCTCTTGTCATGAGCTGCCAAGGCTATGGAAGCCCCCTGAGTTCACTGACTCTGATAATTTTTAGACAAGGCCATGGTCAAAGTGGAAGTTCTCTCCTCCCTTCAGAGAAAGGTACCTCCTTCTTTGATGACCCATTCTTTCCACTGGGATCTCACTCGTGGAGATCTTTCATTTAGGTTTTTTTTTTTCCCCCAGAGTGTCTTGGCTTTCCATGCCTGAAATACTCTCATGGGCATTTCAGCCGGATCCGCATGCCTTAAGGGCTGATTATGAGGCCAGAGTGCTGTTAGGACATTTGCCATTCTATGGATCTGCTGTGTATCTCACTTCCCATGTTGGACCATTCTCTCCCTTTTTGATTCTATCAGCTAGTATTTGCAGACACTATTCTTGTTTATGTGATCCCTTTGGTTCTTAGTCCTATCATTACGATCAATTGTGAACAGAAATTGATCACTGGGACTGGTGAGATGGCATTGGTACATGCCACCTTGATGGGATTGAATTCGAATCCCCTGGTATGTTTCCAACTCTACTGTTTGAAGTAAGTCAGCTTGAGCATGTCCCGAATTGCACATCTCTTCCCTCTCTTATTCCCACTCTTATATTTAACAGCGATCACTTTTCAGTTGTTTCAGCACTTAAGAAGAATTGTGTATTGATTACAGTATTCAACCAAAAGTATTAAGTAGAACAAACAAAAAAAATACTAAGAGGGATAACATATTAAGTTGCTCATCAACAGTCAGGGTGAGGGCTGATCAAGTCACCATTTCTCATAGTGTTCATTTCCCTTTAACAGGTTTCCTTTTTGGTGCTCAGTTAGTTGTCACCTATCAAGGAGAACAAGTGGTATTTGTCCCTTTGGGATTGGCTTATTTCACTCAACATACTGTTTTCCAAATTCCTAACAGGGATCACTTTTCAGTTAAAATTTAAACACCTAAGAATAATTGTGTGTTAATTACAGAGTTCAACCAATGGTACTAGAACAAAAAAAAATACTAAAATGGATAAAGTATTACATTGTACATCAACCGTCAGGACAAGAGCTGATCAAGTCACTGTTTCTCACAGTGTCCATTTCACTTCAACAAGTTTCCCCTTTGGTGCTCAATTAGTTGTCGCCAATCAGGGAGAACATATGATATTTGTCCCTTTGGGACTGACTTAATTCACTCAGCATGATGTTTTCCAAATTCCTCCATCTTGTTGCAAATGACCGGGTTTCGTTGTTTTTGACTGCTGTATAGTATTGTATTAAAATTTCAAATACTAGACTCTACTTAAGTTCTTTTAATCTTTTCACTTAATAGGATTTTATCTCTGACCTTTTATTTTATGCTGAAACCTTATGTGTAAAAGATTTATTATCACAATTTTAGGTCACCTATATGTCAGAAAACTTTTAATTTCAGAATTTTTAGTCTCTTAGAATATGTAAAACACTATATGAGAAGACTGCAAAAAGTTCATAGGAAATGGAATTACAAAATGTTTATTTTGGTGCAAAAAGTTTTGAAACGTATAATTTTTTATAATAAGCATTTTATGTGAACTTTTTGAAAGGCCTTCATGTTTATTTTAGTTTCTTCAGTTTCTTACAGATACAACTATATTAATGTAACTGCTTTTAAACCTCTTTGTAACATAGTCAGTTTGATGTCTAGTACTAAGTACTGGCAAAAATCATTTACTAGCCAAGAATTTAGAATTAAAAGTTAGTGCAGTTAAATGGGCGATATAAAGCTCTGGAACTTCATTTCAGTTAGATTTTTAGCAAGAGGGATAAAGGATAGCACAGAAACAGTGGCACCTTTGTTTATTGTGTTTTTGTAGAATGAAGAAATACCAGCGGTCACTTCGGAGCCTGTCAAAGGCAGCTTAAGCCGTACTCAATCAGCACAGGCTATAAATTCAGCAGACATGTCTGCCAGAGGGGACTGTCTGAAAAGAGTGTCTTCAGAACCTTTACTCTCTGTTCAGGAGAAAGGTGTTCTGCTGAAAAGAAAGTTGTCTCTTTTAGACCAGGATGTGATGGTCAATGAAGATGGGAGAAATAAGCTTAAGAAACAAGGAGGTAAGCATTTCCCTAACTCTTCCATTCAATACCTTTGTTCAGAAGGGCCCTTCAACTTTTTCCTGAACAACAAATCCTATTTGTTTTAATAGAAAATCCCAGTGAAGTCTGTATGTTTTCATTAGCTGATGGGGACATCCCAGAAGAATTAATAGATGTCTCGGATTTTGAGTGTTCTCTCTGCATGAGGTAAGTATATAAAATTTTACAGAGGATATTGATTTACATAAAATATAGTATGGATCAAGGTATTAATAGTAAAAATAACAAAACTGGAATAAAAATCAAAATGTGAATTTTAATCCTAGGGTTGCCTTTCACACATTGGGCAAATAACTGAATCTGTACCTCAGTTTTTCTTATTTAGAAAATGGAGTCAGTACTTGTGTGGCCTTTATCACAGCATTGTGGGAATCAAATGAGTCACAAAAGAATCTGGGAAGGTGTAAAGTACTATGAGATTACTGATACCACTAACACTTGGATATATACATGGTTTTAGATTTGCCTAAGAATTGTAATTTTATATCTTATGTATATGATCCTATCTTGCTTGTGTATACAATCATAAAATCCTTTTTCAATAACACTGGAGAAGGATTTTCATTGTGCAGCATGCTTATTATTGTAAAGCACTAAATGTTTTAAGAGAACATTTCTTATTTAGATAAATTATGATTGACTCAAAGGATTCATGAATTTAGGAGCCTGGGACTAGTCACGCTAGACTGATAGGAACTAACTGTTCCTGAGTCAGTCTCTTAATTCTACGCCTTTGTTTCTTCATCTGTGATTGCAAGGGATTAGACCAGATAATTCTTAAACACCTATAACTAACAGTATTCCTAGGAAATTCACAAGTATAATATTTAGGAAATAATTATAAAGTTAGTAAAAGTAGCTTTTTATGTGTTGTTCATGTATCATGTCTACTAGTAAGCCTAATATTTACAGCTCAGTTGTAATATTTAGTAGGTTATTCTCTTTTATGAATTTTATATACTGTGGCTTTTACAAGCCTTTTAAAATCATTAAGTTGATAAAATGAAAATATAAAGGCTGTGAAAAAGCCAGCTAATTATTAATAATGTATTTTATACTCTTTGAGATCTGGTGTGTATTTTGCATATACTGCCACATACGTTCAGTGGCTATTGCATTAATCAGGGCAGTCTGCCAGCCCTCCTACTGCCTCCTTGAATTAACATTAATTATCATTAATTCAAACTTTTCCGATTGATAGTTTAATGTGAAAGCTAATATGTATTTTGGTTGATTTCAGGTTGTTTTTTGAGCCAGTGACAACCCCGTGTGGACATTCGTTCTGTAAGAATTGTCTTGAGCGTTGTTTAGATCATACACCATATTGTCCCCTTTGCAAAGAAAGCTTAAAAGAGGTAAGCATTTGTATACTTATATATATCTGTTTATTGGTCTTGAATTTGGCAACGTAGTTTGATTTATTGTCAGCCATACAAAGAAACGTTTTTATGTTCAGAATGAATTATATATATGCTGAATGACCAAACAGGGTAATAGTCTATTACTCATATTGTCATGTTGGAGAAAAATGAGAATGAGAGAGTAAAGGAAAGAAGATAGGTCCTAGAGGCCAAACCCCTTGCACTCAGTTTTTTATAATGTAATTTCTTATAATAATAATTTTTAATAAAGGGGTAGTTACCTAGTCGGGATAGGCTCAGTTTTAATGACAATAGTGTTGACAGAATGCTACTACCCTGCCTCCCACTCTCAATAATAGGCTGCGTGTGAGGCCTATTCCAGTTCTCTTCACTCTGTAAACAACTCCATCCTGTAGAACCTACTGCAGGATGGAAATGTTCTCCATCTTTACTTTCCAATGTGGTAGTCAATAGCCACACGTGGATATTAAGCACTTGAACTGTGGTCAGTTTGACTGAGAAATTGTATTTCAAATTTTGTTTAATTAACTTAAACTTAAGTGAGAACATGTGACTTAGTAGCTCCCACACCGGGCAGTGCAGCTCTACAAAGTGGCAGACTGGACAGAGAGAAAGGCACCGCTTCCCTACCCCTACTCCTAGTCAGTGATGAGTGCTAATACTCCGTGATGGAAAAGCTGCCAGGTCTCAGTGGGTATTGTCTGTTACTGCTGGGAAGACAGCACCCTGTCAGTCATGCTGGAGTGACTGGAAATCTTCTGAGGTGGGGCTGCAGCCTTAGGATGTGGAACGGCAATTGCAGACTGGGAAAGGGATTCCATCTCTGACAGGATTGTCTACAGAAAAACCTCTTAACAAATAAGAATAAAAATTAAGAAAACCATTTTGAATGTAAATTTGAATGTAAATAACTGTAAAGTTATTTCCTGTATAGAAAACATAGCTCTGTACAGATAATTGTAATAGCATAGGTATCGTTACGTGTCAAATGTACAAATAGAACAAGCTGATAAGTGTGTATATACACACACAGACACACCCACAGAGTGTTCATAGAGTAAGAAAGCGTAAGCTTATTCGTAAACACTTTGCTAGTTACACTTTCAACTAATATGCTCAGTATTTTCAGATGAAGAATTTTCAATGTGCTATTTTAACTGGCTTCTCGGCTGGCGCCGCGGCTCACTAGGCTAATCCTCCACCTTGCGGCGCCGGCACACCGGGTTCTAGTCCCGGTCAGGGTGCCAGATTCTGTCCCGGTTGCCCCTCTTCCAGGCCAGCTCTCTGCTGTGGCCAGGGAGTGCAGTGGAGGATGGCCCAGGTGCTTGGGCCCTGCACCCCAAGGGAGACCAGGAGAAGCACCTGGCTCCTGGCTTCGGATCAGCATGGTATGCTGGCTGCAGCGTGCCGGCCGCGGCAGCCATTGGAGGGTGAACCAACGGCAAAGGAAGACCTTTCTCTCTGTCTCTTTCTCTCACTGTCCACTCTGCCTGTCCAAAAAAAACAAACAAACAAACAAACAAACAGGCTTCTTAGTTGCTGTTTAGTTTAATTATTATGCTTTTTTTCAGATAAAGTATTAGACTCATTGCTTTAATTTAGAAATATTTCATCTTTTAAGATGTTTGGAAATGGAAGAAAAATATATTAAGCATACTTTTTGAAAATGTAACGAACATACTGTTTAAAATGTTTATCTTGTGTCCAACTTTGAAGACATGTTATTTAATTTGTCAAATCTGAATGTATATAATATAGCAACACATAATTAAATAATGTTGGTATGCCCTACAGCTATATTTTTCCTATTTGTCCTTTTATTTTACTCATTTTTTTCCATTTAAAGATATCTGAAAGATGATTTTTACAGCAGCACAGTACTTCAGTGTTTTAACCATTTCTGTGTTGTTACATATATAAGCTGTTTGGTTCTCTGTTTTTTTGTATATCATACTTTTATGACCATCATTTAAAATTAATGATCATATGCATGTTTAGGTTAAATTCTTGGGAGGTGAATTACTGGATCAATAGTCTTTTTAATAAAGTCCTGAAAACCAATTGCCAGGTTACCTAGCACCCCTGAAATGTTACACAGGTTGAGCTTCCCCAAATTTCATTACCTACTTATGAATTCTGAAACATTTTTAATAAATTAAGGGAAATGGTAGTAGGATTGCTTTCATAATATTTGAGATTTGATTAATTTTATAACAAATTTTAAGCACCCTGCTCTAGGGTACCTTTCTCCAAAGTGTAATTCACTTTCTAAAGGCAAGGTCCTAGCCAGCAGCATCTGTTCCCCCCCAAAAATCTGTTAGAAATACAAATTGCCAGTTACTCTCTCAGAAACTCTGGGGTGGGTCTCAACAAACTGCATTTTAACAGCCCTCATTCACGCTGAAGTGTGAAAACACCGCTGTAAACCTTCCCCACCTCTCCCACTTTCTCATCTACTCTTCACAGGATAATGATAAAAACCCTTGTTTTGCTGGCCATCTAGTTTAAAGTATGGCTTCTCTTTATCTTGTGATTGTCTCCCAAGAGTTTTTCCTCACTACTTTTATGAAGTGAGTATGGATTGGGTACTTTTCTTTGTACAAGGTTCGGCGTACACACTGGCCTGGCCCCTGGCCCTAAGCAATTTTGAGTTTAATTTTAGAAATGTAATATCTCCATATCAGTAAAATACAGTACAGGGAATAGAATATGCCTTTCATGTAGTAAAATATGGGGTTCTAGGGAGACAAAAAAATAGACGACTTTATGAGAAAGGTAACATTGGAGCCAGACTTTGAAGGATAGGCTTTGCATAGGCAGGAATGACACCAATGGCTTTTATCAATTAGAATAAACAATGTTGCATAAATGCACAAGGACCACAGTTGTCTAGAGTATTTAGGAAGTAGTGCCAATGTATCATTTTGTAGAAGTGAAGGTGGAGGGATCGTACAGAAAAAGCCCTGTCTTCTTAAGGGTCTGAATGATAGCAGGTGACAGTGGAAGGAGAATCTGGAAGGAGAGTTATCTGGAGACTGCCTCTGAAACTGGGAACAAAGCGGTGTTGATTTTCTTCAATAAGGCAGATGCATTCTTTTCTTTGTTCCCCATCTTTTTGTTTCCCCATGCAAGTGGTAGTTTCAGTACCCATGAGCTGTCAGATGGAAGCCAGCCTTTACTGTGGGAGATGGCAGGGGCAGGGCTTCTACTGAGGAGGAATCTGGTCAGTTCCTTCATACAGTGCTTGGTTCGAGTTGCCACGTTAATGCTGTTGAGCAGAGCCTCTGACAGGTCTGCTCGCCTAGCTTCGTCCATTGCAATGTTCCCTCTCACTACTTACACTAATTCAGAATCAACTGTATACAAATGTAATAAAGGCTTTAACATATATTAGTTCAATTGTTTTGCCTGTTTTATACTGTAGGAAAACAACTACTGGAATGTAAAATCATATTGTCTTTTAGTATCTAGCAGATAGGAGGTACTGTGTCACACAGCTGTTGGAAGAATTAATAGTGAAGTATCTACCTGATGAACTGTCTGAGAGAAAAAAAATATATGATGAAGAAACTGCTGAACTCTCACAGTAAGTTTCTTCTCATAAAGTCAATCACACTCTAACCCTACCTTTAAAATACTGAAGAGGAGCCTTCTTATTTAACTCAGTCTGGTCAGAGCTGGGCAGCTTCCCCTGTCCTCACAAGACAGAATTTTAGTAAAGTTCTTCTGGTGTCATCCAGATGTTGGCTAAGGTGTTATTGCCTTGGCTTTCTGGGCTGAAGCAGTATTTGAGGTGGGGGAGGATTTTCTGTGGCTACATCAGGCAGTGGAATGGGGCATGGAGGTGGACCTGGAAAGGCGTGGTGTTGGTGAGAGCAGCTCTCATGTGTGGTGCAGGGGCGAGGAAGGCTGTGCAAACAGGACCAGGAGATTTTTACCCAGCTAAAGATTTGCAGGGGCATCTTAGAAACCTTGAGACCTGAGATTGAAACTGGAAGGGGTGACCTAGGGACCAAACATGCACTTTATAACATTCCTGCCAGGGAGCAGAACTGAGTTAGTGTCAGGGGAGTAGAGCCCCCGAGGGTAGTAGTACCTGCCACCATGAGAGGACGTGGTAACTAACTGGAGTCCGGCAGGCCTGGCTCTGCTTCCTGTGGGTTTGTCTGGGACTGTTCTCCCTTTCTTGCCCTTATCGTTCTTCCCTCTTTGGCCAAGCACTTGGGGCTCTTTAAATTTCTTTTACAGGTTTTTAGCTTCTTAACTCTGTTTCTCTAACTTTATTCTAACTGAACACACTAAAGAACAAAATTGTAATGTTAGCAACTTTTTTCTTCCATTCTTTTTCAAAGCACAAATTCAATATTTTGTTTCTCACTTTCTAAAAACATTGTGCTTCCAGACTTTTTTTCTCAGTATGTCCTTCAGATGTCTTCAGTGGGCCAGTGGCCTTGAATAGAGGAAAGATTTCCAAACCTCATTTTACAAATTTGATATGGATTTGGCTTCCCATGAATTGATATTTCATTGCGTGATTTTATGATGGAAACTATTCTGATGTGAGGATGACGAACCTTTTTGGCCAGCACTTAGAAAGCTAGATTTAAGACAGCTGCATTTATGCATTTGTAATCTCAAAACCTAATGGTCCTGCCAGACCGCCCACAGCAGAGTGGTATAAGCCAAGGACAGATGAAGTAGGAACTGAGGAAAACTGAATTGGGGAGGGAAATGAGGGGGAGTCTTGATGCTCACGCACAGGGCTGTTTTGTTAATACATGTTTTAAATATGGTTTTATTAAGTACTATGTTTACATAAGTAATTTGTGATTTTAAAGAAAAAATAAAAAACATAAATAAGTAGGAAAAGAAAGCCATCTGCAACCTGAAGGAATTTACTCTTAGCCTATATCCTTCCAGACTTTCTATAAGTAAGTTTTATATACACTATATAAAATATTTAAAAGTTGGGATCATATTATTCATATTGTATAACTTTCTCTTCTCACTGATAGAATCTCTTTCCTAAGTCAGTATTATACACATCATCGTTTAATGGAAACGCTATATAGTCCTGTACCACATAACAAGGTTTCAGTTGATGGTAGACCCTGGTACAACAGGGATCCTGTAAGACTATCGCCTGGTGACATCTTGGCTGCCTTAGTTTGTGTAGGTACACTGTGTGATGTTTGCACAAAGACGAAATTGCCTAATGACGCGTTTTCCAGAACACCCCTGTCATTAAGCAATGCATGACTGTATTCCATTTTATGGCTATGCTATAATTTATTTACTAGCCTCTTTATGCTTCCAAGTTTTGGCTGCTACCCACAGTGCTATGTGAATACTCATGTAGTACTTACAGAATTATTTCTAAAAGTAAACCTACTGGTTCAAAGAACATGAATATCTTTTAAGTTTTTGATGTATATAGCCAAATTCTTCTTAATCGTGGTTGTACTGTTCTACCATGCCTTCCACACTGCCAGTTTTTCTTACACTCTTGCTAAAACTATTTGTTGCCTTTATCTCTCTCTTACTTTCTACTTTTCTGGCAATGAAAAATGGTATATCATTTTAGTTATGTGGAGGAAATGTCGTCTTGTTGAATTACTTTTGATAGTGTGAAAATATTTTACTGCCTACGAATTTTTAGTTGTTTTTTTTTTCTGTTGTGGGAGCTCACTTTTTCTAATTGTCATCTAAATATGACTATGAATGTTTTATGGATAAAAGACATTAACTTGGTCATATTTTATAAGTATTTGAAACAGGTTCTTAATATAAATATTAGTTATAGTCAATTCCCTTTTGAGTCATAAAGAAACAGTTCTATGTAATAACCTGGCATCTCAAAATTCACACTTTTATAAATAAAATGTGGCAGATTTTATATATGAATATTGCATCAATTTGAACTTAGTAGATGGGAGATTGAATCTTGTTCTTGACAGGAATTACAGTAACCTTATTTAGAACTGATTTCTTTTTGTTTTACATTAATTGAGTATTGTTGGAACCTTCACTTGTTGTTCTTGTATGTTCTGATGTAAAATAATGAGGCTTTTTCTCCTTCAGCTTGACCAAGAATGTTCCCATATTTGTTTGCACTATGGCCTACCCCACTGTGCCTTGCCCTCTTCATGTATTTGAGCCAAGATACAGACTGATGATTCGAAGAAGTATACAGACTGGAACCAAACAGTTTGGGATGTGTGTCAGTGATACACAAAATAGGTATGCTGTTTGTGAATTACATAGTTGTATTTCTTTAGGAACTTTCTTTGAATAGGGATGAGATTTGCATGATTGTGTTTGAACTCTTGATACTAATCGAAGTTTTTCTTTCAGTTTTGCAGATTATGGTTGTATGTTACAAATTAGAAATGTGCATTTCTTGCCTGATGGAAGGTCTGTGGTTGATACAGTTGGAGGAAAGAGGTTTAGGGTTTTAAAAAGAGGAATGAAAGATGGCTATTGCACTGCAGACATTGAATATCTGGAAGATGTTAAGGTATGAAAAATGTTCTTTCACAGCACACAGATTGGTGTTTTCTAGGCATATGAATCAGTTCTTTCTGTTAGACCCTGATCATTGATAGTTGGGAGAATTAGCTACAAGTTACTGTTTTGTTTTTTAAAAAGTAGGTATTTATTTTCATTTTATTTGAAAGGCAGAGGGACAGAGAGAGAGCTCTTATTTGCTGGTTCTCTCCCAAATGCCTGCAACAGCCGGGGCTGAGTCAGGCCAAAGCCAGGAGCCTGGAACTCAATCCAGGTCTCCCACATGGGTGGAAGGGTCTCAAGTACTTGGGTTATCACCTGCTGCCTTTCAGAGTGCACATTAGCAGGAAGCTAGAAGTGAAAACCAAGACTCACGCCCAGGTTCTCCAGTATGAAATGTGTGTCCCAAGCAGTATCTTATGGACTGCACCAAATGCCTGCCCTCAAGTTACCTTTTTCTTCTTGCTCTTAAGTCATTATATATTATAAGAGAACCTGGGAGAAGGAATCTAGGTCTTCTTTTCTAGAGACTTAATAACCAGCATGGTGTGTACAATGCACATGAACATATTTACGCATGTACGTGTGTATATATGCACAGTAGGTCCTTAACAATAGCCACTGACTAAGGTGAACTGTCAACCCATGTACATTTTTAAAGATTGCTAATGTCTGCTCTGCTTTTTGAATTTATTAATAGTCAAAGCTAATATAATCAGCAGATTAAAATTTGATCTAAAGGTAAATACATAAAATCCTTGTGGAATTATTTTTGTGTATTAAGAGTGTTCTTGTGCCCAAGATAGCCTTACTGATAAAATACAGTTACGTGTTAAATTAAAACTCTCGGGCTTCACTGATACAGAATTGTCAGTAGATATATTGGTGAAATCTTACCAGAATGGGGTTATTATTTCTTGGATAGGGTTAATGTGGGCCTTTTGATGTTTCTAAAATAATTCAGCAAATGCAGTTAGTTTAGGTGTCACAAAAACAACTTGTGATATCAAATATCAAATGGAAGACAGTTTCTTTTGGCAGGGCTCTATTAGAAAATATATATCTTATACTATCATTGTTCACTGATCAACCCGTCATCACAGTCAATATTTATCAAGTATTGACACTGGGCATTTCATAAGCATTAGTTCATTGAATTTTCACAGTTCTGTGAATTAGCAGATGAGGAAAGTATGGTTCAAGTATTCATCACTTTGCCCAAGATCCTATGGGTATATCACAAAAATGACTTAAAGCCAACTCTCTGGCTCCATGTTCTGAGCTTTATCATTATACCATATTGCCTATCTGCTGATCAACTTGATTAGCTTCACATTGCTTGTCATATCATAAAGAAGAGGTGAGGATACTGTGCTTTGTGCAGCATGCCAAAAGTATTGTGTGAATTGAAACTTTGAGTTTATTAACATAGTGTATGCCTTAGGACTGGTTAATGAATTCATTTGCTAAAGGCATTGTTCTTTGTTAAACTGATAATCACTTTAGTTCTTGGTAAATTTACATTACCTTATTATATAATTATATGTGTAATTATATATATTAATTATATTCATGTTGTTGGTTTTGATGACAAAATCCCTTGGGTATGTGGCCAAATATATACATCTCTGTCTCACATTCACACACACACACACACACACATATACATACACATAGATACTTCAAAAAAGATCATGGAGGCTGGCACTGCGGCTCACTTGGCTAATCCTCGGCCTCCAGCACCCTGGGTTCTAGTCCCGGTTGGGGCGCCGGATTCTGTCTCGGTTGCCCCTCTTCCAGTCCAGCTCTCTGCTGTGGCCTGGGAAGGCAATGCAGATGGCCCAAGTGCTTGGGCTCTGCACCTGCACGGAGACCAGGAGGAAGCACCTGGCTTTTGGCTTCAGGTCGGCGTGCTGGCTGTAGCGGCCATTTCGGGGGGGGGGGGGGGGGGGTGAACCAACAGAAAAAGGAAGATCTTTCTCTCTGTCTCTCTCTCTCACTCTGTCTGTCAAAAAAAGAAAAATAAAGTTCATGTAAAGTAGAATTTAAAAATAAGCTTATTTTGGTGCAAAAATTTTTTTAAATCTGTGCTAGTTTTTTCATAGTACACATTTTCTATGAACTTTTTTGAAGACCCCCTTGTACACATTTATGTGCACGTATGTACACACAATACACATGAGGGGACTTCGAAAAGTTTATGGAAAACTCAAAAAATAAATTTATTTTGATGCAATTGACATCCATGCATAGTTTTTTCATAATATACATTTTCAATGAACTCCTTGAAAATACCCTCATATATATATATATATATATATATATATGATATGATAGAATAGCATATTGGATGCATTACAGATTTGAAATCTGAGTTCTCTATGTCTTTGTGTTCTTACGAATGTCTAGCAATTTTTTCTCTCTCTAGTGTCTTCATCCATGTGATTTTTTTGTTCATTCTGAAACAGTGTCTCAAAATATTTTTTATGTCAGTGTTTTTTCTTATTATAATCATTCTGTTTTCTGTTACTTATGAAATTACAAGTTAGTAAAATTCATAACTTTTAAAAGTTTTGAAAATGTTTACCTGCTTTCTTTGCTGGCTACTTTTTCCGTCTCAGGGTTATGATTCTTGTCGTCCTTGCTTTGTAGGTCCCACAGTTTACTTCCTTGAATTTTTTGAGTGTGTAAAAGCAGATACTTCTTTTTTCTTTTTTAGTGACCTAAGTCATTAAATTTATTTCTTGCTCAGGTCCAGTCCAGTGTAATGTAGTAGGGGCCCATATATTGTATTGTCTTTCCAAGACAAAGATTCTTCAATTACATGTCTTTTCTACCTTTTCAAAATTTGTTTCTGTTGTGGTAAAACTTGTAAAACATTAAATTTAACATTTTTTATAATTTAGAGGTTTTTTATTTTTAAATTATACTTACTATGCCATAAATTCTTAGGGAATGGGTTCCAGCAGCTCATGCCCCTTTTCAGTGGTTCTGACAAATGGAGCTTTCCTGGGTGGAGCAGGCTGGGTCTTTAGTTGAAACCAGTTGCCTTTCTCTTTGGTTTCCTTCTTTTTCTGATCATTTTCCTTCACACATTTCAGGAAGCTATCATGGCTCTTAAGAGTGCTTAATATACTCAATATGGACATTAATTCTCTTGGCAAGAATCTTACCCTTAACTTTTTTGTTTACAATGCTAACAGCATGTTGGGTAACGTTGTGGACTCTTGCAGTTTTGCCATGGTAACATTTCTGGGGCACTCCTTTTTGAACAGTACCTATTTCCTGCTGTCTACAATATAAGCTTTCTTGTAGGTGCACATCTATGTGGCCAAAGGAATGACTCCTGTGTTCTCTAAAAGGCCCGGAGAACGTGTGTCAGTACCTCTCCTTGTCTTTGTGTCTATCATCTTGATGAATTACTGGAAGATGGCTCTTCCATTGAAAGGAGGCCACAAAATTTACCTTTTAACCAAAGAGTTCAACATTCATGTTATTGAACAGAATGCAGATGGTTTTTAAAGTTTAATTTTAATTGTCATTTTAAATCTTCTAAAATAAATGTTCTTTTGTCTCTGATGTGCTATAGTCTTAGCTTTTATATTTCAAGATGTTTTTAGAATCCCTTTGTTGTTTTTGTATTAGTCATGCTTGAAGTATGAGTGGCTGAGTCAGGCCTGGTATTTGCTCAGATGAGTTAATGTATGTACAGCCAAGCACTGCCCAGCACGTAGCAAGCGGAGTACACGTGTGTTAGGGAAATCAATGTACAAGGGTGTGTTAATGTTAGACCTTCCCGCCTGTGTTCTGTGGCACTACTTTTGTGGATCTCAGCTGGAGGACTGAAGCATTTAATTTTATATTGGCAGCTTGGTGGCCCAGCAGTTGAAAGGGTGCTCCAAGAGGTTGTACAGGTAGCCACAGTCCTGGGACTTTTCAGCAGAAGTTGATTGTTGTGCAATTTATCTGCTAGCTGTTGACTTACTGGATTCGTGTGCGAAGTTATTTGTTGCTCTTTTTTGATTGTGGTTGTGCTCTAACTTAGTTTTCCTGGTTAAAGCTGTAATTTTACCTGTTCTCCTGATATTCACGCTCTGCCATGTCTGCATCCTGATGCTCCATCTTTCCTTGTATTGCAGCAACTGCATTCTACTTTCTTCTGCACTGCTTTAAAAAGGCAAACAGAATTCCAAATTTCTGAAGACCTTTGGACCAAAACTCACTGTCAATCTTAGCCCTCCCACTCTGGGGGCTGTTAAGTAGGATTCTACAGTATTACACTGCTAAGTTAGCAAGGCTTGTGGAGGTCAGGCCATGCCATGTTTCTTCAGTTTGGCACATTATCTATGTGAAGCAGAAATATGTGCTATTATAGTGTAAGAACATACTGTAATAATTCTGCGTGGAAAAAGAGCCTCCCAGTTCTTCTGAGACTTGTTGGCATTTCTATAGGATTAGTGATATGGACGGGGGAAATTAGACACAGAAGTCTCATTGCCTATTTTCTTTCCAGGTTGAAAATGAAGATGAAATAAAGAACCTCAGAGAGCTTCATGATTTGGTGTACTCTCAAGCCTGCAGCTGGTTTCAGAATTTAAGAGACAGATTTCGAAGCCAAATTCTTCAGCACTTTGGATCAATGCCTGAGAGGGAGGAAAACCTTCAGGTAAGATGACTTTGATATTGCTTCCAAAGGTCTCTCTTTTTTGTAAGCCCAGATTAGTAGATTTTTAAATTTAACTTCCAATTGCCTTTAAAAGTATTTATTTTGAGAGATAGATAGATAGATAGATAGATACACACGCACACACACACAATAAGAAAGAATTCTCCCACCTACTGCTTCCCACCCTAAATGACTGCAGCAGCTAGGGCTGGGCCAAACCAAAGTCAGGATATGGGAATGTAATCTGGATCTCCCACCTGGGTGGTAGCAACCCAAATACTTTAGCCGTCACCAGCTGCTTCCAGGGTGTCCATCAGCAGGCAGCTGGGATTGGGAGTAGAGCCAGGACTCAGACCCAGACACTCCAGTATGGGAGTGGATGTCCCAAGTGGCATCTTAACTGTAGGCCAAATGCTACCGCGCATTTGCCTTTTTGTGCAGCATTTCCATTGGCTTCCTGCCTTCAGGATCATGGCCTTATTCTCCAGAATGGTGATGTCCATTACATTTCACATAGCTAGGAAACAGATGTCAGCTCAGATACCTGTGGGAGGCAGCGCTGCATGGGGAGAAAGTCCTTAACTGACCATTTTCTGGAAGGAACAATAAGGAATTTATAGTGGGACATAACCATCTAGTCAGCTGTGACTGTGAGAAAACCATACCTTCACACCTTGGAGCCAGTCAGCTGTTGCTGTTATTCTTTAACAGTTGAGAGATATATCATCTTGCATACACAAAAAAGTCATTTGTCTCTGGGAGTGGGTGTTCAGTGGTTCAGATGCCTGTGTTCCACATTAGAATACCTCAGTTACATACAAGGCTGTGGTTCTTGACTCCAGCTTCCTACCCATGTCCCTTAGGCGGCAGCAGTGGTAGCTCAAGCAGTTGGCTTCCTGCCATTTATGTGGAATACCTGGGTTGAGTTTCTGACTCTCAGCTCTGGCTCCTCCCCACCTCAGCTGTTTCAGCCACTTGGGGAGTGTCCCAGCGTAAGGAAACTCTCTCTGTGTCTGTGCCTCTCAAATAAATACAGTTTTAAAACAGGTGTATTTTTTTCATGTCTCATTTTATTACCAATATTCTACTCCATAGCCTCTCAATCCATTTTCTGTGTCTTCATATTTAATACTTCACTCCTCCTGAAACTTTTTTTTTAATGGTCTTTCACAGATACTTGGAGTTTACATTGAGCTTAATTTAATTACCGTGTATCAAGCACTTTCTGTACAAGCAGATCTGTGTAGAAGGCAGTGAAGAAGGCATGAAAGAAGGGCTGCTGTGCTGGGAACTCTGGTTATAGACTCATCAAAGCACTCACTTTCAGACCTGAGCATCCTGACTCGCATAGTGTTTGTGATCAGAAAGTGATAGATTTCGTAAAGGAATAGCTTCAAGTAGGTAGATGAAAATGGAGAGATAATAGATCTCATTGTGAACCATACTGTCTCTCATTCTGATTGCCAAAGTTGTTTAAAATCTGGCTGAATCCCAGTTGAATCCTTCACTTAAACTTGAAATTTCAGCATAAGACCATCTCCATATTGAGTACAGTGCTCATTCTGTATCTAGCGTATTATCAGTCGCCACACATTTGTTTTATTCTGGCTACCTGGTGCTGATTAAACATGACAAAAATAGGCTCTGACAAGAACGAAATTGAATGAGTAAATTTTAAGCATTAAAAATAGCTTCTAGAAAAAGCCAGCATTACTTTCCCATGACCTTCACCACCCTCGTCTTTTATCACCCAGCTGTCTACCATTGCTCCCTGTCAGTCATCCTCTATAAATCAAGATTCAGTCAGGAACACTAAGGCAGTCATTCCACAGTCCAGGAACAAAATGTTTAATGAAGGGTGCACAGTTCATACACACTGGAAGAGCTGGGTGGGTGCAGGTGATGTTGTCTCCAGCAGGGTCCAGGAGTCTGTGCACAGACCTCTGTCTGATATTCCGTCTCTGTCTGACGGTTCTCGAGAGCTTGCCGGGGAGCTGCTATGGTTTTAGAGATCCTGGGGAGTTTCCACCAGTGTATCAGTCTGCAGCCTTGCTGCAGGTGGTTTTCAAGAATTCTCTGGAAAACTGCTGTCCATGCTTTGCAAAGTCTCTGGAGAATAGCTTCTCTTCCAATTTCTGGCTCTCACAAGAGTGCCTCATGTTGGTCAAGTCTAACTTGGAACCATACAGGGTAGGGAACTCTGGGAAATGTTGTTTCTGACACTACTGCAATACAGAATGAATTGAGAACAGATAATATACTATGTAGAAATAAAATCTGGTCCTAAGGGAAGCTTATTTAGATCAGTGCCAGCATAGCTTTATTTGTCATTCTGAAGCTCCATTTTTCAGGGCCAATGAAAAGCACTTCAATATGTAGTAGGATGGCTTATAAATTTGCTTATGTAGATTTCCTAGTTCTGCACCCTTCATTAAACCCTTCATTTCTGGACTGTGGAACTACTGCCTTAGCTTTCCTGACTGCATCTTGATTCTGCAAAATGACTGACCAAGAGCTATAGTTCTTTCTGTATCCAGTAGTCAGTCCCTGTACCATCAGAGGGACCCTATTGCTAGAGGTATGTTTATTTTCAAAGTAAAAGAAACAGAGACACCCCTTTTTTTTGTATTTTTCTTTAGGATTTTATAATTCTTTGAAGAAATTTTAAAGTATCAATTAACTTTTTTAATGCTTTAAATACATATTTTAAGAAGACAGTTCTTAACTAAGGGTGCTTTTACACCACAGGACATTTGGCACTCTCTAGAGAAATTTTTGGCTAGCACACCTGGAGAGGTGCTCCTTGCATCTAGTGGGTAGTGGTCAGAGATGCTACTGAGTGTGCCACAGTGCACAGGACAGCCCCACACCACCAAGGGATTATCTGTGTCAGTAGCCTGAGCTCAGGAAGCCCTGCTTTGAGGCAGTACTGTACAGGGGAAAGGGTGTTGTCTGTGGAGTCGGGTCTGGCTTTGAATCTTGACTCTGCACACAGGAGTCTAGAGATCTTGGGCAATTTGTATTACATTTCTAAGTGTCTTCAGTGTGTATGAGCAGAATAATAGCCTACCTTACATGATTGTTAAGGGAATTTGAGATAGGACCTGCTACATCTCAAAGTGCTAAGTAGTAGCTTTTTGGTGGTGTGTCAGTGTTGTTATGTTTGCACTTGTTTTATTAATACTGTAAACTGTTGATTGTTCTCAGGCAACCCCTAATGGACCTGCATGGTGTTGGTGGCTTCTTGCAGTTCTTCCTGTAGATCCCCGATACCAGCTGTCAGTGTTGTCAATGAAGTCTTTGAAAGAACGGTTGACAAAGATTCAGCATATACTGACCTATTTTTCTAGAGACCAATCTAAGTAACCCACTGCTTGGATCTTACTTCGAAGTTACCCTGATCTGGCTGTGTTGACGGCCAGATTGTCCGCTGCCTTTGCACATCCAGTGCTGGTTTGAGAAATGTAACGAAACTTTTTTTTTCTTTCAACCTCCTGAATCATGTGGTTCTGCAAATGAATACCTTCAACTAGGATTTAGACCACTAAGAACCTGCACAGGAAAACACGCACTGAAGTGTGTTCAACCTCTATGTTGTGATGAAGTTGCACTATGTACCCTATTCTAAAATGAGATAAAAACTCTGTATGTATGTGTGTGTGTGGGTGTGTGGGTGTGTGTGTGCGTGCGTGTATGTGTGGGGGTTGTGTGCATTTTCTCTGGCTTTAAAATTTTAAAAGAAAAAAAAAAGCCATAGAGAGCAGAACTTGCCGAGGGTCATTTATTGTCCAAGTTTACAACAATGGTGACACAAGTGTTTGCAGATTGAATTTGCCTCAGATCTGTCTGTCCTAATGCTTATATTTGCACAAGTATGTACCATACGACATCGAGTGTCATCCCTTGTTGGAAATACTGCTCTTGCTGAACTGTCTTGACCATTGACTCTGACACAGTTTCTTATTTATGTAAATATTTGTATCCCAGTGGCCGCCAGGCACTGGGTGCAGAACCTAGAGCCAGTTTTCAGGAACAATTGCAAACCTGACATGGTACTGTGCATCTATTCATACAACACTTAAAACTGTGAAAATATGGTTTACATTTAATTGTACATAAAGGTAAATGGAGAACTCAATTCAGTACCAGTTATTTTGTGCATTTTAGGGGGCTTTTCATGTTAACTGCCCATCTATGTAATTTATAGTTTGACATGATGTGTTTGTTTAAAAAATTACATAGTATAAACCCACTAAGGATCTGGAAGAGGAGAAGAAGCTTAATGTAGAACTAAGCTTTTAAAGTGTGTTTTATTTTTTAATTCTGGTCTTGGTGCAAATGTTAGTTATGCCTTATTCACATCACAGCTAGATCACCATGCTGTGACATGGTTTATATTCACGCTGCCCTAGATACTTTTGTAATTATTTGTTGCAAAGTTGTGACTGTCCCTATTAACTTTCTTTTATGTAAGTAATTTGTAAAAGTTTCTTACAATTTTTGCTTTTGCTTATTTAATTTTGAATAAAAGCTAAATTCATAATAATATTTTTTCTTAATATTTAGGACAGTGTAAAAAATTCAGTAGAAGAATCAAACTGCATTTAGCAAAGAACACGCGCATTTTGTTCATTCTGTGGTGACACGAGACAGATGCTGTGGTCATAAAATGCTTTTGGTTATTTTTGGAGCAGAGAACACAGTGCCTTCAGGAGACTTTGAAAGGCCCTAGAACTATCCTCGAAAGCACACTTTTTCAACCTTTGAAAAATCCACATCTCACGCAGGGGTGGGGAACGTCCAGTCCACTGGTCAGTACAAAGCCTGTGAAATCGTCTGGTCTGGGTCTGCCAAGGCAACCAAGCTGGACTCAGAGTTCAGTAAATCTGTGGCAGGCTGGCTTTTAAGTTGATCATTTGGTGTGACCTGAGGATGACGGTGTTCCTCCATACGTGCTAAACTCACTGGAGATTCCCCTTGTGACATAGACATGACTGCTTCCACAAATGATTTTCCGGATATAAATATCTTTTAATATTGAATTTTTTTAAATAAAAAATGAGTTCAAAAATGACAATCCAGAGGACCACCCTTGCCCCTGCAATTATGCTAATTAAGAATCTGTTCAGAAGTTCTGCAGAAAACATCTGAAGAATGGGCCACTCCTCACAAGTATCTTATCGGTGGTTTCAGAGGTGTTGGGTTTTTGATTGTAATAAAAAGCCACCAAATGCCAGTTAACAGTGCTTTGGTATAGTATGAATGAGGCAACCTGTATAGTTCTCAAAGAATATTAGGTGGCAGTAGGAGTCTCCTGCTGCCAAATCCATATCGTCAGTGTATCCTGTCTGTGTGTGTGCACACATATATAGATGGGGTTCAGTGGTTTCCGTGTATATGTAAACTAATGGGTATTTTCATTTGACCCTAATTTTGTGATAATCTGTCTGTGGATTTTAAAAAATTCTCTGGAAGCTTTTTTCTTACTGCACCTTCCATATAACATCCCCCCCCCCCCCAAAAAAAAAAAGAAACAGCAAAAGAATCTGATAGGTGTTTTTCTTGCTAGCACCTAAGTTCCATCATGAATACAGCAGTTCAAGCCCAGGTAGCCAGCTGCTACCCCTCTTACACATCTGTCTCGACATGTTCCTGTTCGCAGCACAGTGTGGTTGCCTTCACTCTGGTCTCCAGAGCACTCTCCTTGCACTTTGCCGTGGCACTTAAGAGAAGTGACCACATTAAGCACAAAAGCCCTCTCCTGAGAATTGTGACTGTTGTTTAATAGTTTCGACAAATTTAAGGTCCATGTTTAGAAAGCAAAAAACCTTTGGCTTCATTTCCTTCCCAAATTAAAAAAAAAAAAAAGTGACACTGAAGAAAATCAAATAGAATGGCATTGTGAAACCAAAAATCTCTCAAATGGTTAATGCTTTGCAGGAATTCCTGAGTTCTTGAGGAATTCAGTGTGATGTGAGGGAAGCATGGCTTTGCAGAAACAAGAGCGCAGATCAAAAGCCAGTAGCCACAGAGAACCCCCAAACTTCTCAAGAAGATCTTGACACTCTGGTATAGCTGTTCTGGGCAAGGCTGGGTCATTTAACCCTCTCCCCAGCTTAGACTGAGCCGTGGGGAGCAACAGCCATTGTTCTCAGGCCAATGCGTTGAGTGTGGGTCTTGAGCCAGGGAAGATTCAGGAAATCTTCAATAGGTACAGCTCTCCAGGGAGATGGGGAGCCCTCATGTGCAGGGAGGAAGGTAGTGGCCTGCCTCATCGGGCAGCATATCCCAGAGTTCCCCATGGTCTGCAGAGGCAGGCTACCTTTGACAAAACCAAACCCCGAATGATTGATCCCAGACAACGGAGATGAGTATTCAGTGGGACCCTAGACATTTGAGGGAAGAGCATCCTAGATGAGAACTGAATGTCAGATTTGAAGATGTTGCTGTTCCCTAAAGAGACTGAAGAATAAAAATGTTCCTTGGGTCAGCTTCGTGGTGCGATGGATTAAGCCTCAACAGTGACACCAATGTCCCATGTTGGAGTGCAAGACCACAATGATGACACCAGCGTCCCATGTCAGAGTGCCTGTTGGAGTCCTGGCTGCTTCCCTTCTGATCCAACTCCCTGCTGATGCACCTGGGAAAGCAGTGGCAGATGTCCCAAGTGCTTGGGCTCCTGCCACCCACGTCCTTGACTCCTGGCTTTGGTCTGAGAGCTCTCTCTGACTGTTGCAGACATTTGGGGAATAAATCAGCAGATGGAAGACTCATATTTCTCTCTCTCTCGATGTTCCTCAGCCCTGTTACCATAGAAGCATTCAATAAAAATTTTATTGAATTAGTGAGTGGATCAAGGAAAGAAGCTGGGTAGGTAAGTTGAGTAGGAGAATGGATGCAGATAAGGGATGGATCAGTGGGGCAGAGGGTTAGATTGGGGTTCTTTCCAGAACAATGGAGAAATCAGAAGAGCCAGAAGGAGAGAAAGACGGAGGCATGGAGAATTGATTCAAAGGTTCCTTCCCCCCACCCCCACCCCAAGGAGTTATTTGAAAGAACATCAGAGAGAGAGAGAAATTTTCCATCTAGTGATTCACTCCCCAAATGTCGCAAAGGCTAGGACTGGACCAGACTAAAGCACTGGAATTATATTCAGGTCTCCCAGGTGGGTGCAAGGGCCCAAGCACTTGAGCCATCCTCTTCTGCTTTCTCAGGTGAATCAGCAGGAGGCTGGACTGGAAGTGGGGCAGCTGGGATTCAGAACAGTGCTCAGGTAGCAGCTTAACTTGCTGGGCCACAACATGGGCCCTGATTCACAGTTTGCACATCTAGTGTTTTTGGGTTTTTTTGTTTGTTTTGCTTTGTTTTGTTTTGTTTTTGTTTTTGACAGGCAGAGTTAGTGAGAGAGAGAGACAAAGGTCTTCCTTCCATTGGTTCACCCCCCAAATGGCCGCTATGGCTGGCGCGCTGCGCCGATCCGAAGCCAGGAGCCAGGTGCTTCTCCTGGTCTCCCATGGGGTGCAGGGCCCAGGGACTTGGGCCATCCTCCACTGCACTCCCGGGCCACAGCAGAGAGCTGGCCTGGAAGAGGGGCAACCAGGACAGAATCCAGCGCCCTGACCGGGACTAGAACCTGGGGTGCCAGCGCTGCAGGAGGAGGATTAGCAAGTGAGCCGCAGCGCTGGCTACACATCTAGTTTTTTGATAATAGAAGGCCAAATAAATAATACAAGTAATTTCCTCAGAGCTCAAGAATAATGAAATACTACATTTGAGGGGAAAAAATAAGGCAAACTTAAACAGGTAGCTCGAGGACAAAATAGCAATAATTTAGTTTCCAGCATTGACCAGCAATGATATGACTGGCTCAATGATACCAATTTTCCTCCTAAGATGATGTTTAAATGCCAGTATTTTTAAATTGTTAATATGTTTTGTAGATATGTAGTAAATGAATTCTCTTGCAGACCTGCCTCCAAGGAGCTTTAGGCTTTTCACCAAAATTAAATCTGTCCTTAGAGATTATTACCTGGGGGGAAGGGAGCATATTGTGGTGATCACGATTAGGATATTGAAAAGAAAATAGGCTTAATTTCAACAGAATATATGCTTAATTTCCAATATGGTAGGGGTCATTTAATCGTTGGGAGAAATCTTAGGAAGTAGTGTCCTCGTACAGATTCGGAACCAAAATCACTAAGTGGTGCAATAATTGGTCAGGGGATTGCATGCCCAATGTGTGGCGGAACTGGCTCTAAACCTGGGTGTGCCGGCCCCACGACTGCCACCCAAGTCGTAAATCAGCTGCCGGAAGGATCTGACCAGGACCCCGGACATCGGGCGGGACCTCTGTGGGGTCCTACAGCTGAGGAATTAGGTATTTAGGTATTAGGTATTAGGACTGCCCTTTATTTTGGGGAGCAAAATAAATTGATAATATTTCTGGAAAATAATATTATAGCTGGTATTTATCAAGGATCATTACAATGTTCATAGTCTTTTTAACCTAATTCAGTATTGGAGAAATACCCTTAAGGGGATAATTTTTTAATTGCATATATATGATGATACTGTGTTCTTTTCAGTCTCTAGAACAGCAAAAACTTAGACATAAGCAATGCCCACTATGAGAGGTGACAAACAGAAGACACTGAAGTATTATTCAGGCAGCAAGAATCACTGGAGACTTACGTGTGAAAGTGTGCAGTTCAGAACTGTCATCAGGGGTCCGGGCTGGGGCCTAGTGGGTAAAGCCGCCGCCTTCAGTGCCGGCATCCCACATGTGCGCTGGTTTGAGTCCAGGCTGCTCCACTTCCAATCCAGCTCTCTGCTCTGGCCTGGGAAAGCAGAAGATGGCTCACGTCCTTGGGCCCCTGCACCCACGTAGGAGACTCAGAAGAAGCTCCAGGCACCTGGCTTCTGATTGGCCCAGCTCCAGCCATTACAGCCATCTGGGGAGTGAACCAGTGGATGGAAGACCTCTCTCTCTGTGTCTACCTCTGCCTCTTTATAACTCTGCCTTTCAAATAAATAAATAAACCTTAAACTAATCATATGGCAATTACCTACTGTATGCATACAGTTAAAGAGTAGATGGTTCTATTCAAAAATGAAATCAGTAAGATTGACAACACATGTATTTTTCTTTAGCGATCCTGAGTGTCTCTCTTGTAAAGAAAGGCAGTCATGTATCGCTAAAGTGCTGTCTTCAACCACATCACTCTTGGGTTCTGAAATCTGAGAAGCAAATAAGCCTTTCTGAACACTGCAGTTACAATGATACATTTCCTTATAATTGATACATGCAAAGGTTACTGGAAACAGTAAAATGGGAACACATGATTCAGCGGGACCTTAAAAATGTCCTCAAACTACTCAGTATCATCCCTTTAGTGGCCAACAATAGGAAATAGGAAGAGGAGTCAAAGCCAAAACCTTTTCTACTGTTGAGTAACTTAAACCATGGGAATAAAAGGTTTTTTTTTTTTAAGATTTTATTTATTTATTTGAGAGGTAGAGCTGCAGACAGTGAGAGGGAGAGACGGA